CCTTACACAAAATGGCACAGTATTTGTATATAACCTACAAACATCCTCCCATATACAGTACATTATTACTAGATCATTAATAAYACCTAATATGATGCAAACAATATATAAATATTTGTTATACTCTATTGTTTAGGGAATAATGACAAGAAAAGAAGTCTCTACATATTTAGTACTGATGCTTTTTTTTCAAATATAATAAATACTTGGTTGAATCTGCAGATGTGGAACATTCAGATATGGAGGGCAGACTAGTTATCTTTGTGCTATGGGCTATCACACCAGTGAGAAAGCTATGCAATGCACACAGGGCTGGAATTCAGGCTGTGCACTGGTATCCCACACACCTGCAGGTACCTTAGTGGGTTTAGAGTAAATATGTGCCAAAAGAATAATTCTTACAGGTCTGGGCTTCTCTAGGCTCCAAATATGGCTGCCCTGTATTCTAAGCCCAACTTTACCAGGCTGTAAACCCAGGAGGAACTGCAGTTCACTTGGACCACAGACATGGACTGGGCATCTTCTTGGTACCTGAGACCCGAGTACTGCACACAGCTGAATTGGGGAGTCTATTGTATACATGAAGGACTAACAATGCTATGATTTGAATGTGTCCCCTGTAAAAGCAAGCTGGAAACTTAATCTGCAAAGCAGTAATGTTTGGAGGTGAGCCTAATTGGAGACATTTAGGTCACTGAGGTCTCCTCTTTCAAGAATGAATTACATGCCAATTACAAATGGGCTTGGGACCATGAGTTCAATCTCTTATTAGTTCTCACTCATGTGATAGCTTATGCCACATTGTGAAATTGCAAGGAGGCCCCAATTAGATACTGGCCCCTCAATCTTGGACTTCCCAGCCTCCAAAACCATGGGAAATAAATTTGTTTTTTATGAATATCTGGACTCTGGTATTCTGTTATAGCAGCACAGAACAGACCAAGACCAAAGCCCACCATAGTAAAAGCTGTTAAAGCAGGAGGCAGAACACCCAGGGAAGAAAGTGAAGGAGAGAGAATGGCCAGTAGTGATCTCACCCTGGGGGCAATACAGAGCAAMATCTTGGAGGAAGAGTGAGTGTTTTCAGGCAGGTGTGGGACCCATGGGATGGCAGGACTAGATGGAGGAGGTCACTCAGCCTGGGCACAGAGGATCAGATGTAGAGGTGTAGGGAGAAGTCGGGTGAGGTATGAAGTGGCCTGGGTCCTTGGCTATGGAGACTGGACTTGCAGCTATGAGCAAAGTAAGCCAACAAAGAGTTTGAGGCAGAAGAATAACACTAATTACATTATTCTTTTTCTTAGAACTTTCTGATGGATATGTGGAAGACAGAGAAGAGCTAGTGGAGACCCATGACTAGGAAAACTTGTAATAGGAGCTGCTCAGTGTGAGATAAGGGTCTGAAGTAAAATTCRGTAAAATCGAATGACTTATTTGTTGGATACAGTTGGCAAGGGAGACAAATGATTCCACCAAGAGAAATGGTGCATGGCTACACAGAAAACAGAGACCAGCATGAGGAATAAGAGCAAACAGGGATGCGTTCTCTTCTGCTAATACCCAGATGCCATGGGACATTCAAGGGAAACAGCTAAAATGTGGATCTAATAACTTCACCTGTTTATGTTTGTTCCAGTGCAGATGAATGGAGGAGCAACATATCCTGACACTCAGCTAGCACAAAGAACCAAGGACACATGCAACTTGCATCTGTGGGGCCAGTGTGACCATGTGTGCCAAYGAGGGCCTGGGCTGCTTCCCCTGTACCAAACATTCTCTAATTAATCCAGATGAAATTCAATGAATGATGGCTTTGGCTTTCCAGTTTAGCTGAAAATTTGGATTTCACACTGTAATCAAATATGAATTCAACACTAATAAGGGCTGGGGTGTAGCTCAATGTACCTCCACTGGGTAAAGCGGTTCCTTAGGCCTAGGATTCAATTTCCAGCATTGCCAACAAACAAATAACCCAACCCCAAAACAAACAAACAAAAAACATGAAAGAATAAAATTCATGTGTACTTACAAAATGGTACTAGCCTTGAGTGACAGTTTAATGTATTTCTATATTCATATCTTTCTGGGTAACATTTTAAAAAATAATCAATAAAAATATAATTTTTGGGGGGGAGTAGAGTTGAACTGGGGATTGAACCCAGGGGAAGATTAATACTGAGCTATATCCCCAGTCCTTTTTATTTTTTAGTTTTGAGACAGGGTCGCACTAAATTGCCAAGGCTGGTCTCAAACCACCACGCCCAACCCAGAAAATTCTTTTTTAAAGGAAAATCCTGCAAAATATCTGGTAGAAGAAAACCATGAAAAAGCAATGTGTAAATGACCATCTCTGTTCTTTTTGCATCTTGAGGACAGTCTGTCCTTTTTACATTCAATCCCCCTAATTCTCTCTTTTATTTTAACTACTCTCTTGAGGTGTGACTGATATGCAAAAAGCTATATGCAATGTATAAAACATGGGTTTGCCAATGACTAAATATCCATGAAATCATTAGTATAAGGTATAGCAYAAGCATATCTATCTCCTCCAAAGTTTTCTCTAGCCTCTTATTTACTATTAGTATTTTTTTGTGAGTGATAAGAACACTTATTATTAAGACCTACCCTCTTAACAAATTTTTAATTATTACATCACAGTTTATTCATCCTAGCCTGGATGCTCTAAGACTAATTCATTTTGTTTAACCAGAACTTTGTAAAAGCAAGGCAAGAACTGCTCCAGGAATTCTGATAATCCACTTGCAGTATGCAATCAACTAGTCATCACCCCCTCCCCCCACCCCCACCCCCGTCTCTCTGGGAGCAGAGCAGCATGAACACAAGCCACAAACCTACCCCTTATCCTCACTGCACACCTGTTCACAAGCCCAGAGCTCTAATGAACAGASCCTTACCAGTCCTCTGAGGCTCTGGGCTCTCTTGTATTCTCAGAAAGCTCCTTCTAAGGAAGCAGGACCTCACATACAAGGTCAAAACCAGTGCACCAGCCAATGTCTAAAGCCAATGCTGCCCACCACAGTAGATAGGAGATTCAAAGTTAAGGCAAAATGTTTTAAAATAACTAAGAAATAGCTCATTCTCTTGGACCCTGACACATTGCTTTAGGTGATATGCTCTAAAAAGACCAAATATAACTTGAAGAAAAATGTTTACAGCGGCACTTATAATACTAGTAAGTGCACAATAAATGCATTGAATAGATGTATAAATAAAAGGTAAAACCAAAAATTATCAGCAATCATAGAGGAGTTAAGCAAGTTCTATTTAGTAACACAACAGTAAATCCAGTGGCATTAAGAATGGCAGGGAAATTACTGTTCCTACCCAGAAACTTATACATGAAATAATTTTTAAGGAAAAAGGAATAGAGCAAAATAATATGCATATATGAACTGTATACAAGTCGTACCAATAATGACRTAAGAATATCAGGTAATGAATATATAATCTTGGTCATCAACATTTAAATGAATAAAATGGCCTGAATTTTCTCTCTCAAGGCATACTCTGTGGCAGTACCCTTTATAAATGTTTACAGAAGACAGGAAAAACTATAGGGAGGAGAGACAAGGACAGGGGGCTGGCTGACCTGGAGCGGAGYTGGGGGGCTGCCTGGTGTAGGACACGTTGAAAGCAGGCTCCTCRATCAGCGGTGGGGGATACATGCGCCTCCGGATGAAGAAGCCAGCTCCACAGCAGAAGAGCACACCCATCATCAGGAGGAACCTGAGGAGAGCCAGATATGAGGCTGGAGCTCAGAGCAGGCAGGAGGTTGAGAGGAGGCCCCAGGGCTCAGGCCTGTGACTTGCAGGCTTCATGGTCTCCCTGGGGATCCAGGGATGGGTCAGAGGGCAGAGTGAGATGGGGCCACATGGATTCTTGGCCTGTAGACTCCTGGGAGGTCCTTGGATGGAAGCCATTGATACTGAGGTGCTCTGTGAGAAGTCTGTCTCAAACAGCTCCAAGTGGTTAGCTGGATTCAAAGCACTGATGCAACTACTTTCTGAACAGAAGTCTGAACAGAAGAYGCTGTCTTAATTCTGTCTCAAAATCACACCAGATACAGACTTTGCCTGTTTCCCCCATTTTCCATTCTTCACTGTCACAGCCATGAGAGTGAACATGTTTAATCTTTCCAACAGCTGTCTCCATTGCTATATGAACATCTATAATGAAACAAAACTATGCTTCCTAGAGCATACCTTAATTATAGATACACTACAAGAATGGAGAAAATATAATTAACAGAAAAGCTGACAATTTAGAAAACTTGAGGTTCTAAATATGGATAAACATTTGACCCTAATACCCAATTGACTGTGGTGCCAAGTGCCTTAAGCATAGCACCTTTGTGCATTTCATGTAAAAATTCTCATTGACTCACATTATCAGCATTCAGCAACTGATTACAGGATGACTGAATGAATGACTTCTTCCCATAGACCTTTTGTTTAACAGACAAAATTGAGAAACTCTTGCCCATTTCATAACTTAAATTGTGATGGAACCCATAGAATCTACCAGAACCTCACACAACATACCACATTGTTGGAGGAAAGCCTATTAATGATACTTTTGCACAGGGTGAGCTGCTCATGGTCAATGGCACCATTATATATATATATATAGAGAGAGAGAGAGAGAAAGGGGGGGTGGGGGGAGGGAGAGAGGAGCTGATGATAAGACCTTTCACTTAATATGATGCTAATTACAAGGTCAAATAACAAGAACCTACTGGATAACTTTGGAACATTGAGCAGGGAGAACAATCAGAGGTAGGGGACAGAAAATGATTGAGGGAGGAACTGCATGTGTTGCCTTTGTGTTGCCTTCTAATTCATTATTCATTCKACAAGCAATTGTTAAGTTCCTGAATGCCCCTGGCACCATGCTGAGAATGACAGTGAGGAAAAGCAGGTGGGGTTCCCCTACACAACTTAATTTCTAACGGGGAAGGGAGACAGTAAACAAAAAATACACACAATTACTTATTTATAACTCTGATACGTACAAAGAAAGAAAAATGAGGGATGAAAGAATGGGTTTTGCAGGTGTTTGTGTGTGTGTGATAAAATATACATCACACAGAATTCACCATTTTCAACGTTTTTCAATGTCCAATTCAGTGCACCACAAGGTTTACAGAAAGGTAGCTGTTGTACTGAGGAAGATCAAGAAAGTATCCTGCCCTTCAGTGACATTTGAACTGGAGCCTACGAAATAAGAAGAGACAAGCTGGAGAGGGGGGAAGGAGCATTCTGGGTGGAAAGAACAGTGCAGGTAAGGGTGCCATGGCAGGAAAAGTTCAGGGGAGAGACCCAGAAAGAAAGGCTCTGTGGCTGGAGGTGTGGACAGTGGGTACAGACCTGGTAGTCAAAGATCCAMATTGCAAGGTGGTGTTGATGAGTAAGGCAGCTGTCGGCAATAAGAATGCTGAGATTGCAGAGAAAAACAAATTTGTTTCTTAAAACTAATTTCCTGCTGGTGCAATGGAGCACACCTGTAATTATAGTGGCTCCTGAGGCTGATCTGAGGCAGGAGGATTACAAGTTCAAAGACAGAATCACTTAGCAACTTAGTGAGAGCCTGTTTCAAAAAAAAAAAAAAAAAGAAAAGAAAAGAAAAGAAAAGAAAAGAAAAGAAAAGAAAAGAAAAGAAAAGAAAGAAAGAAAGAAAGAAAGAAAGAAAGAAAGAAAGAAAGAAAGAAAGAAAAGGCTAGGGATGTGGATTAGTGGGTTAAGTGCCCTTGGGTTCAATCCCCAATCCAAAACACAAAAGAAAGAAAGAAAACTAATTTCCCTTGGGTGGAGTCAGACCTTCAACACTGAATGCAACTGAAAATATCTTAAGTGGTACTATATAAACCATAGAGAGGCTGAGTGAGTGTATGCAAGGGTTTACTTTCCCAAATACTATGACTGCTAAGAGAACAATTCCCAGGATTGCAAAATACAGACGTCATCTGAGATATCGGTCTCTTCCATGAATAAAGCCAAAATGTTGATTCCATTCCCAAGTGGATCTTTTTTTAAAAAACAATTTTCCTTGAAGAAAAATGACCTTGTACCTCATACTGTAGAGTGACAGATAACAAGTATGAGGCAAACATATAGCACAGAGTCACATGGCAGGAGACCAACTCCTAGTTGAGGTATCAATCACCACCTGACTCTTTCCTTGTAGAAATTCATTAGTCTGAGAACTTATTTTAGAAGAGATGAACTGATAAAAGGGCAGAAGAATGATATGAGGGAGGAAAGGGAGGCCACAACAGGTCAGTTAAGAGATAAAGGTATGATAGATAAAGAAAAGTAGTTCTTAAAGAATTAAGAGCTACAAGTTGATTCACTATATAATCTTTTGTTGCTTGGTAGGGTTTGGAAACTTTCCAAGGATTAAGAGAGGAAGTCTTGTTCCTTTTCTATCATTAGAAGCAATTTAGTTTCTTAATTTTAGTTTGTTTTTGCAACTCTTCACAGTGTTCCCCGTAGGCCTTAGTATAGCCATTCTCAACTCTGAGAGCCACGGTGGCCAGGGAGCAGCTATTATGCAAACTCTGTTGCCTGAAACCCACTCCAGAACCCAGCACGGGAAGCCCCAGCAGCAGGCTCACCCATAGAGCTGGACCTGCCAGKCTCGGACCCTGTGTGCTTTCCAATTGTAATTAAGGGTGTCACCAGCCCACCCATTCCTAACCCTGACAATTTCTTTCACATCTACTTGGCTAAAGATCATTCAAGATTTTAGAGTTGGTCAGCTTTATCCTCTTCACCAAATGTCTATCCCCTGCTGGAAGCCTCCCATCACTCTCTTCCTGTGTGTACTCTTATGCTCCTGTCCCTGCACTGTGCTGTCTCTTTGATGGGGACACCCTCTCTGAAGATCTACCTACTCAAAAGTCTTCTAGCTTTTCTCAACCTTCATCAGAGGATCTGTGAGCTATTTGCAGAACACTGGCTTAAAATTATCTACCTGTACTTATCTACTTAGTCATCTGTCTTTTTCAGAAGCCTGATTGCCATAAGGGCCTCTCCCCAGGACACACAGCAGAACACGTGGTGTGCATTAGGCATCTGATATTTACTGAGAGAAGGAAGACATGAGGCAGAAAGGATACTTTAATATCCTTTGCATTTTAGCTGGGGCACCTCAAACTCACATAGCAAGGTGTTCTCTGGCTCTACCTCAAATTGAACCTTATGTCAGAACCTCAGTTCTAGCAACTTGATGAAACCTTCTGGCAGCTGGCACTCTGATCTGACCTTGCAAGTGCCTGACCTCAACAGGACTCACATAGCTTCTGTGTGTATGGGATCCTGGTAAGTAACCATGTGCCATCATGTCAAGGGATCCTGCTTCTGACAGGTGAGTGACCCCAGCCAACAGCTCTAGAGCACCTGGTTGCCAGTTCAGGTAAAATTTCCCAGGAAGACCAACGGAAGCTGCCAAGCCTTAGCAATTCTTGTGGACGCKCATTTTTGTTTTTTCTTTTTTAATCACATAACAATCTTTGACATTTGTTTTGTCTGTTTCCAGRGCATTCCCACAAACTCATCATCTTTCATCTTGTGCTTCAGACAACTTGAATACTTCCAAATCCTTTCAGGGATCAGGATTTCATGCTGTTGACAGTCCTGCCTCCATCTGCCATGAGGTCCCACAAAGATAATCCTGGGTAAGAGCATGTCCTCAAGCTAGGTCACTCTCTGAAATGCCACTTCCCACCTGTCCACTCCTACTTTGGTTCTAGTCCTCTCCACTTAGAAATTTACATAAAGTTGTTTACATTTGTAAAGTCTTGGGCTAAAACAATCCAACTTCCCCTATAGTTTTAGACACTAGCAACTGTGAGGTGGGGGAAGCAGGGCGTCAACACTCCCTCATTAAGTAGGGTGCAGCCATTCAGTCAAGGCTGCCTATGGTGATCCTAAGGGARGCCTGGCCAGGTGCTAAGGGTACAGGTGAGATTCAGTTCCCAAACGTCTAAAGTCCAATCAAGGAGCTGTTGCTGTTAAAGAAAAGGCTCATGTGACAAGTGCAGCCCCCATTCCCTGYTGGCTTATCTGACCACACATTGGGAAGAATTGTTAAAGAAAACCTCACAAAAATTCAAGTGGCTGCTATAATGTTCTCAGTAAGGTTTTAAAATCTTTARAGTGTCAATAAGGTCAGAATCTTAAAGTCATAAAGGAGCTTAARTCAGGAAGAGCATGAAGTCTTAACCCTTAGTGGAGTTCACCTGAGGATATCACCATCACATGGGAACAGAGAAATGRGTGGGTCTAAGAAATGCTCTTTTGGTTTTAAAGAAATTCCTCCCCGTGGTGCTCTGCCATATCTGACATCATCGTAAGCAAAAACTACTGTGGTTTGGATAGGAGGTGGCTGCTGGAAAGCYAATTTAGGTAATGCAGGAATGTTGAGAGGTGAAAAGATTAGATTAAGARAGTTATAACTGAATCAGTGGATTGATCCATTTGATGGATTTGTAATTTCAATAGATTACTGGGTGGTAACTGTAGGCAGGTGGGGCATGGCTGGAGGAAGCAGGTCATGGGGGATGTGCCCTTGGGGATTCTATTTTGTCCCTGGCTCCTGCCCCCCCCCATCCCGCTTCCTGGTGCCATGAGCTGAGCAGCTTTCCTCCCCCACACCCTTCCACCATTATGTTCTTCCTCATCTCAGACCCAGAGCAATGAAGTCAGCCAACCATGGGCTGAAGCTCTGAAACCATAAGCTCTAAATAAATTTTTGTCAGGTATTTTGGTCACAGCTATGAAGAGCTGACTAACATACCTATTATCAATAGTGTCAAGTGGATTCTCAGAAATCCCCAAAGGGGCATCCTCTGGGGATTGTTAGCCAAATTGAGGCTTCTCTCTGTAGTAGAAGCTCAGCATCCCATCCTCCTAAGTCCAATTTGATAGACTTCACATGGCTCTTCAAACTTCCCCTCCAACGAGGTGGAGGAGGGATAAGGATGCAGGCTGCCTATCTTTCAAAGATAGCTGCCTATCTTTCAGCTAAGATTCAGCTGACATAGGGTGAATGGAGAGAATTTCCTTCCAGACAGCAGAAACTTTATCACAAGTCTCAATCTGCTGATTCTAATTCCTCAAGATAATCAGCCTTAGCTCCATTTCCCAAAAAAAGCTCCATTCATTCCTCAGCTGATGAAGGGAGAGGCTATTGTCCAGCCCCCTCTCCAAAAGCATAACTCTTCCTCCCCAGCCAGGAGCCTGTGGAAGTGGAATGAGCTTTCTGCAAACTCTGTGAGCATAACCAACTCTCAGGAAGCCAACCTATGTACTGGTTTCGTTGGCCTAGGCCATCCCAAATGCCATAATCCAAGGTGAAGGTGACAAAACTGAGGTAGTAACAATACTGACAGTAGGCAGAGCTCTTGAGGATTGGGGGCAATGGTAGAGACCAGCACTTGGGAACAAGAAAGAATCACGACCTACCAAAAATACCACAGCCTCTGTATGGAGAGGGCCCGCACACAGCACCTGGAGCCACAGCAGTCCTCATAGGAGCGGCATCTGCAAGAGAGAGAGAGAGAAAGCACAGACTGGTTGGTCACCGTTCTGGGTCAGAAGGAAGAGCCAAATCAGTCACATGGTCCTGGCCAGGTTTCAATGTAAGCATTATTACAAGGAAAAAACAGATGGGTGAAAGGACATTGCTGCCACCACTGCATTTCATACAACTAGCAGAGCTGCCTATTGTTGGTCTGGTGGCCCAAAGGAAAGGTATGAGATGGATGCAGCCCACGTAATTCAAAGTTCTGTGTTTATTATGTATTTCATGTGCCAACTCACAATGGGATCCTCTGGGAAGGCATCATGACTCAAAACCTGCCACATTTTCACCCAGAAGGAAGCTCCACCACAGACTGTTAGCAATATGCACTGATCTCTGATCAGTTTACAATCCTGATCATGGGGAAAAGGTGGAACTACCCCCACTAAGTTCACTAATGCCTAAAGCAGAGATAATGGAGCCAAAAAGTTAGAARGCTTAGTCCTGATCTTGCCACTTCCTAGTGGTGGGACTGCTAGCAAGTTAACCTCATGAGGCTCAGTTTCTTCATTTGCAAAATGAGTGGAATGGTTGGGGCCCTTTGTTAAGGTGAGATTGCAATAAATCACCAAGTGAATCTTAAAGCAAGAGACAGAAACTTTATTCACCAGGCAGTTTGGATCCCCCAGCTGGCAGGCCAAGGGGTAGGTTGTAAGTCTACACCCTTTGACCCCCTTCCAGGGTTTGAGTACCCCTTTTATAGTCCAAAACCATACGTGGCTGTTGCTATGATTCAAAACCACAAAAAAATGTCATGAGATCCAAAATCATAATAGAAAAGAGAGTGGGCTAAAACATCCCTAGTTGTGTACAAGTTAAAGAATGGTTACTAACATCTGGACAATAAAACTCTGACAGGGTGTATTGTCCAAGAAATCAGGAACCAAAGAGAGAACACYTTTACATTGTRTAAGAATTGCCATTTTGTGTTGTCAAACATGCTATGCTAAACAACTGTTGATGGRTACAGAGGTGGGGCTTTCCCTGGGAGAAGCATTTCTTATATGACAAGGAGTCTCAGGGCAAAATGGAATCTGTTTGGTCATTACCCATATAGCCTGGCCCATAACACCAGAGTGATAATTTAAGTTTCTAGGACATGATCCACACATAAAGGGCTGRTGAGGGTTAGGATTATTCATGCTGCCTCCTTCCCCCACATACCTAACCATACCTGAGGCCTTGGAATCTCTGAGAGAGCATGTGTTCAGGAGCTGTCCTCACTCAGAAAAGCCACCTGGGAAAGGCCCTGGTTGAGAATGGGACCCACTGCAGGCCTCTGATGAGTCATTCAGTTCCTTCTATTTCTACCCTTCCCCATTTCCTTTGTTAGTTTTTTTTTTTTTTTTTTTGAAAGGGAAAATGTTAGGAAAGTTCAAACCCTTTGTGAGAAGCTTCTGCCAAAGAGAAGCTTTTGTTAGAGCAATCTGTGTCCAGGTGGGAATGGTGGTTGATTACTTCTCRATAATGTAAAATGATAACCTAATTGTGAAAAAAWTTTTTTTCTTTAAAAAAGTAGTTGGAAGARACATACAATTCCATGAAGATTTTTGGCACTGAATGTGCAATACAGACAGGCTTGTTTTAAGTTAAAAAAAAAAAATGTAGAAAATATTAGTTAAGAAGGATAGTGGCCTGGAAGTCAGCAGACCAGATCTCTAAAGCTAATTCTCTAAGGTTATGTTTGTTCTGCTTTTTCTTTTCTTTCTTTTTTTTAAATACAGTTCAAATTTCTTGTATTTATTAGCAGGTTTTATGTATTTTTTCTTAACATGTATTAATTGTACATATTAAATAGGGTTAATTTCTAGAAGCTGTGTGACATTTCAACACATGTATGCCGAAAATCAAAGCAGTATAGGTAGGAATTTTTAGCTTTGTTCTGCCTCTTTGTAAACACACAGCATGGACTGAAGCTAAATCYTATATTCTTCAAGGATCAACTAAGCTGAGAGGCACCCTCAACAACTACCACACCCTCCATACACACATACATACACATACACACACACACACACAAAAAAAAAAAAAAAACCACAAACAATATGGATTTTTTTTACAACTAGTTTTCCCAGGYACTTCTCTACCTAGTACCCAAATTGTCATGATTTCAATGAGATGCTCCCGTAAGGCAGTGACTTGCATCAACTAACATGTAGCAGAGACCCCTAAAGAGTGCGCATCAGATGAGCAGCCACTCAGCTCCCTGCTGAGTCCTGGGGTGGAGAAATCAAACCTAAATGGGAATGCCTGTGAAGGAACTTTCTTTCTAAAGGAGGGAGACAAACAATAAACAAGAAAAGCAGGACCTGTTTTAGATGGTAATAAATTCTACTGCAGTGAAAAATAAAGCAGGTGCCAGCAGGGCAGGTTGAGAGAATCAGGGTGATGGGTAACATGATTTTAAATAGGGTGTTCAGGGATGACTCTGAGAAGGTGACATCTGAGCAGAAACCACATTAAAATCTAGTCTCAAGATGACCTGTGCTAGCAGAAGGGGCTGTGTTTGGGAGCAGGGGGACCCTCCAGTCATTGGTCCATAGGCCCCGCAGATGCACTATGGAGAAGGGTGTTTAAACACAGAATGTGAGAGAATGAAATGCCCAGTGGAGTGGGGGGCACTGAACCAGGACTAGGCAAAGGGCCCAGAACCACACAAACAGCAACCTGTAATTGCTTGGTGTTCTTTTTTCTCAAAATCTTCTTGCTCTTTGGTAAAAAGGGTATGTGTCTGTCTCTGTGTGTGTATTTGTGTGTGTGTGTGTGTGTGTGTGTGTGCACGTGCGCATATATGTGTGGAGGAAGAGGGGGAACATTCAAGGGAGATATAGGATTTCTTGCTGTTAGGGTCAGTGGTATTCAGATATTTCACTGTAAACTAAGAGACTGTTCCCTATCACGGGTTTGCAGGGTGAGTGTTCTCGATGATATGATAGYATGATAGGCAGAATTCAAAGATGGCCCCAAGATTCTCCCTCCTTATTGTATATGCCCTGCATAATCCCCTCCCCTTAAATCTCCCATCCCGTGCACACATTGGGCCCCTTCCATGATTATGGAATGGTAAATAAGCATATATATAYATATACCTGATACAGTATAGATGGGAGAATTATCCTGTTGGTTTGAGGAGTAGCTGCCATGTTATAGGAGAGCCATGTGGCTAGAACTGAATGTGATTTCTAGTAGCTGTGAATAATCCCAGCTGTCCTGAAACCATAAGGAACTGAACCCTGCCAACAAACTGAAGGAAGTGAAGTAACTTGAAGGAGGACTCCATGGGCCAGATGAGAACACAACTGAGCCAACCCTTGATTTCTACCTTATGAGATCCTGAGCAGAGAATCCATCTATGCTGTGTCCACGTTTGTGACTTACAGAATCTGTGAGATAATAATTATGAATGTTATTTCAATCTGCTAATCTTTTAGTAATTTATTAGACAGCAACTGAATAAATAAAAACGATTCCAAGTTATGAGTCTTCTTATATAACAGACACCAGGTTAAGTGCATCACAAATGTCTGAGATTCATATGCAAGGTAAATATTATTAGTGCTGTGTTTTAAATAAGTTTAGAAAACAAGACACTGGGGATGTTGTACCCCTCAATCCAGGTCACTGCCCCCWGATACCAAGAATGGACTTGGCTAGCATTTCAGGAAACTTTAAAATTTCAGGGCTTGGAGTACATCCAATACTGATAACCATAACCTGGTATAAAAAAGGACAGCAGGTATACAGTACTAAATTTAGTAACTAAATCATCTTTCCAGGGCTGAATTTGCTAAAATACTTCACTTTCACRGTTACCCTTATATAGAAGCATTTGCTGCTTTGAGACCTAAGCTCTGCAGCATCCTATTTCCCATATGAGAAGAAGCAGGCCAAAAACTGTCAAAGCTTTTAGACACATTTAGAGCCCCTCGTCTTGGATTCTAGGATGCATATGTATACGCACACACACATATACTCACCCTTCAGCCTGAAAGTACTCTACACTACAAGTATAACGGATTGTGAGTTCCTAACTGAAACTCCTCCTTGTTGGCAAGATTCAACACCTAAGTGCTTGAGCTCACTTTTCAGGATCCAATTTTGAAACACCAGCAGCAAATACATATTGTCAACTGATTATCTGCTCTCTTCTCTCAAAACACAGAGCATGCTTTATGCTCCCTTGTTCAGCTGAAGACCCGTTTACTATAAGCATCCTTGAGGCTCATCTGTAGTTCTGGCCCAGCTCCCAGTGTGGATGTTGGCAAGTGCCAGGCACTCGAGGGACCACACAATTACTCACGGGGTGACATTCTTACCCCTTTTCCCTTGGCTGCTTTCTTCCAATGAAGCTGCTGGTAAATTGGGGCCCAAAGCACACACCTACTGACATTGTAACCAGCTGAAATTATAAACAAAACGTTAACTGTAACATTGAGTTTAATTAAAAGTAGTAAACATTTACAGGCAGTCTAGCACACTAAATAAGCCCATCATTCAACACTTCAAGTCCAGTGCTCCTAGTGCTGTAAGCCTCCAAAAGGCACTTGTAATTTCAATGGACTTCTGCAAAACTAAGCTGGATGCAGAACAAATGAGGATGGAGACAACAGACTGGGATTTTCCTTCTTGTTCTACTATGTGCCAGATGTAAAAATTCTCAGGCTCACAATAGAAAAGAACAAACATCACTCATAACCAAATCCGCCCTTCAGCACATCTAATTATAGGTCTGGGACTCTGAAATGCACATGATCCTTAAAAAGAGTGGAAAGAGTACGTACTTCAGTGGAAACAGTCTCTGGAACTGCTTTCTGTTAACCAAGTACTCCTGACTGTATGCCAGGATCCAAATGTAGATTTCGGATAAGGTCAGAGAATGGGTCAGGTCCACTGTGAATAGGTGTTAATTTGTAACTCAGTATATTACAAAGATAAAATCAGAAGTGTCTAGCCCCTTTCT